ATATTTATACAAGAAAAAAAGTTGTCCAATCCAAGAGTACTTTAGATATAACTGTAAGTAAAATTTCTCATCCATAAACATAAAGAAAATACTATAGACCCCTTTTTAAAGACAAAGTTATGAATTAAATTTATAAAATTAAGAAAGTGGAAAAAATCAGTAAAATTAATCATTTTTCTGGGTACAATAAATATGAAACTAAAATTAAATAAAGTAAGAATGATGATTAGGAGGGAGAACTTGCTGTAATAATAAAATTAAGAATTTTCAAATAATAATATGTTAGAAAAACTGGCAGGTGGAAGAAATGGTGGAGAAAACCTATGTGTGTGACTTACCTTTCCTTAATATTAGAACATCAATAAATAATAAAACAAATATGGAATTGAAAGATTAATAATTCCACCTCATAATACCTTTTATAATCTTTTCTTTCTAATATTTTGGGGTCTCTCTGTCTTCTCTTGCCTTCAAGTAATATTAAACTTTAAGCATTTATTTGAAGCTAGTGTGCACAGAGCTTTCAGGTGCTAGCCAGTGGCCAGTCGTTTAAGTAGGCATTAGGAGAGCAGTCTTGGCCTTGCTGTGTCAACACTTTTCTGCATGGTAAACCATGTCTGTTTCTACATGGTAAGTCTGGAGTGATGGTTTGGTTTTACTTTTCCGTGAAGTCTGATTTATTAATTTTTAATGGGTATGTATAGTTTCTATTAAAAAAATAGTATACGTTAGTATACTTGGCTGGGTGTGGAGGCTCATGCCTGTAATACCAGCATTTTGGGAGGCCAAGACAGGTAGATCACTTGAGGTCAAGAGTTTGAGATCAGCCTGGCCAACATGGCAAAACCCCACCTCTACTAAAAATTCAAAAAATTAGCCAGTTGTGGTGGTGTACACCCATAATCTCAGCTACTTGGATGACCGAGGCAGGAGAATCTTGAAATTAGGAGACAGAGGTTGCAGTGAGCCAAGATTGTGCCACTGCACTCCAGCCTGGGCAACAAAGTGAGTGAGACTCCATCTCAAAAAAGAAAAGAGAATAGGCCAGGCACAGTGGCTCAGGCCTGTAATCCCAGCACTTTGGGAGGCTGAGGTGGGTGGATCACGAGGTCAGGAGTTCAAGACCAGCCTGGCCAAGATGGTGAAACCCCATCTCTACTAAAAATACAAAACTTAGCCGGGTGTGGTAGCAGATGCCTATAATCCCAGCTACTGGGGAGGCTGAGGCAGGAGAATTGCTTGAACCCAGAGCAGAGGTTGCAGTGAGCCAAGATCGTGCCACTATACTCCAGCCTGGGTGACAGAGCGAGACTCCATCTCAAAAAAAAAAAAAAAAGAGAGTATATTTTTAAAAAAATTAAGCAAAACTGCCAAGTGTATCTTTCAAAGAAGGCATCTAAACACTGCATGAAAGAAGAAAAATAACTCTCCATTCAAATGTTACTAATATATGCTTGGAAGGATTATTATAATCAGCTTGGAAATACAATTATAAATACCAATTTGTTAGCTGTGATTGTAATTAATTAGATTCCAAGGCAAATTATAGACATTGGCCATGAATAATATAAAATTAGGGGAAAATCAGAAACAAGTATATTAGGGAACTCACTTTTCTACAAGTACATACCCACCTCTTTCAATTATAGTAATCTTACTTATGTTTACCTTGGCTTCCTTCTTTCTGGCCTGGCTCTTCTATTTATTTTGAAAACAAGTGTGTCACCTTGTATGAGTCAGCATACTTCAGAATCTTGCTGCAAGATTTCTGGAAGATTATGAGGCACATAAATAGCTCAAGAAGTTCACAAATCCCTAGAGAATTACAGATAGTTCAGGTACCACATTTGAACTATGATTTCTTTCCCTCCCCTACTTTCTGCATTTGTTAGTAGTGGTTACGAAGAATGCCAATGCAATATTCAGCCCACTGAACCATTTATATACTGATTTGTAGACCAAACTGGCATTCTAGGTACTAGGAATTTAATGGTGAACAGGTGAAACTGTGAAAATGATGACCCACTATGCTCATAGTTTACACGTTTACTAACAAACAGGTAAAAATCAATAAACAGTTTAGTTTACATTATAATAAAGGTAGATACAGGAAGTTACAGATGTAAGCATGAGATCAACAAATAATTAAACAAGGACAAAATTTTAAAGACAAATCATGAATACTGATGATTTAAACAGGTAAAAATGATGTGGAAAACAGAAGAAAAAGAGAGAGGGAAGAGAAACAAATACAGCCTGTCCCCTTCGGAGCATGACAAATACATAAGGAAGATAACTGCTGTATAAATTTGGGGTAAAATTAATTTGCAAGTGTCAGTTTCTTCAAAATATTAAAGGAGGATAAAATATTATCCTAAGCCTTAAATAAAGCTTCCAAAACAGCACAAATCGTAGCACATAATAAAGGTGTAATCAGTGCTAGCCACCCTTATTAGCATCAGAATTTTTAAACATGGTTCTAGAAATTTTACAAGAAACAATGGGAATCCATGTACATTAATTATATATGGCCTAAAATCATCATGTAAATAATTTCTTTTAAAGAGAAACAAATTATAAAGCTGTCAAATACAGTTGTTTACTCTTTGGTTTACATTGTTCAGTTTCTTTGTTCATCTCGAAGAATTTTGCAAACACTGACACTGTCAAATTCTACAAACTCATCACATCCATCCAAGTTACAAGAAAAAAAAGTCTCATATTTACCTCTTAGAGATCTTCCTTTAAATTTCTTATTTCTTTGTTTATACACTACTATATTATACCACCTTGGAAGTGGTTGGATCATCACAAAATGAAACAGAAACTAATTGATATGGTTAGGCTTTGTGTTCCCACCGAAATCTCATATTGAATTGTAGTCCCTGTAATCTCTATGTGTCAAAGAGGACACCAGGTGAAGGTAACTGAATCATGGGGGCAGTTTCTCCCATGTTGTTCTTGTGATAGTGAATGAGTTCTTACGAGATCTGATGGTTTTATAAGGGGCTCTTCCCCCTTCACTAGGCACTTCTCCTTCCTGCTGCCCTATGAAGAAGGTGCCTTGCTTCCCCTTCACCTTCTACCATGATTGTAAGTCTCCTGAGGCCTCCCAGCCATGCTGAACAGTGAGTCAATTAAATCTCTTTCCTTTATAAATTACTCAGTCTCTGGCAGTTCTTTATAGCAGTATGAAAACAGACCAATACACTAACATAAATAGAATACAATTTCCTCATTATGAAAGAGAGAAAGTGCAAATTCCGTAAGTTAAGGGACTGGTTCCCAGGGAACATTAGGTAATATCTGGAGATACTTTTGTCTCTCACAACTGGAAGGAAGGTGCTATTGGCATCCAGTGGTTATGATCTGAGAGACCAAAATAGATGCCCCCTTATCAACTAAGAGGTATGCTAAGGTTAAGGAAACCAAGTTACCTATGGGTAGAGGGTTCAGGGCTTGGTTGGCATGACCCATTTCTAAATTTCTACAGCTAAACTTGTTAACAATAGGAGCTATCAACTCTGATTTATAACCCAGACCTCTAAAGCTCTGATTGGTCAGAAGCCTGGCCTTACAAAGATTATTTTCTGATAAGCAACTGCAGACCACAAGCCAGTTTCAGCTAGCTTATACAGGCTGTGCACAAACTCTATGTCCTGTAGTTCACTTTTCGATGTAAAGAGCCAAATTCCACTTCATTTTAATGGTAAAACCCTGCTCCAAAGTAAACATTGGATGTTATGTTATTATGAGAGTATTTTTAAAAAGTTAACCAAGGCTTTAGCAGAAAAATCCCTGAGAAAGCTTCATCAGAGAGCCTTTCTCCACCACAATAATGCCCCTGCTCATTCGTCTCATCAAAAAGTAATTTTGCCAGAGTTTCAGTGGAAAATCATTAGACATCCACTTTACAGTCCTGATTTGTCTCCTTTTGACTTGTTTTTGTTTCCTGTTCTTTTAAGAATCTTTAAAGAGCACCCATTTTTCTTCAGTGAATACTATTTTTTCAAAACCTACACTGACATGCTTAAATTCCCAGGACCCTCAGTTCTTTATGGATGGACTAAGTGGCTGGTATCATCATTTACAAAACTATCTTAAGCTTGATGGAGTTTATGTTGGGAAACAAAGCTTGTATGTTTTATTTTTGTCTTTTGATTCCATTTTCCATGAACTTTCTGAAGGCCTCTTGCATATACAACCACTTTATTCAGACATTGGACAATGGGTAGCACAAAACAAGGAAACCTAAAAGGACACAACTGAGATGAGCTGCAGTTTTACCAAAAAATGAGTGGTTTGACATAGGTTCAAATCCACAGCGCAAGGAAGGCTGATCCCAAGATAGCTCTGCAATTTTTCCTAGTTGCCGAGAAAGAGATTAAAGCTTGAGGCTGAGATGGCCAAACCTTGTGGGCAGAATATCAAGCAGGATGAAACTGCATGAAGAGAAACCTAGAGGGGTTCAGAGGGACTGCTTGATTTCTAGCTGAATACTAATTTGAATGTGCATGGCTTCCAACTGCATAAATCTGGGACAGCAATAAAGGATACCATTCTAGCAAAAACTCCCATTTCAACCAGAGTGGAGAGAATCCACAATTCACGAAGGATTGGCTAGAGTCCTCAGAAGGGTATCACCTTCAAAATGGGATAAATTAGGCCTAGTCTAAAGGCTACTCAGAACCGCCCTAAGAAAGCTTAAAAGAAACCTCAAAAGAAGAAAATGAATCTCAAGAGGAACTTAACTACATGCCAGAACAAAGTCTAACACTTTGTAAAAAGATACAGCAAAACTCAAAACACAAACATTTGACATCCGATCAAAGATAATCCAGTGTGCAAGGAAGCAGGAAATTGTGACACATAAACAAAAAGGGGAAAAAGAGATTTACATAAGCAGGACCAGAAATTATACAGATGATAGAATTAACAGCAAAGGACATTTAATAGCTAATATGAATATGTTCCATATGCCCAGGAATGTAGACGAAAACATGGAAATACAGAGGACAGAAATGAAAGATACAGAACAGAGTTACACAGAACTTCCAGAAGTAAAAAGGAAGAAATGAAAAATATGCCAAGTAGGATTTTTAAAATGTTAGACACCATAGAAGATTACTTAAAAGGGATGCAAAAACAAAATGATCTTTTTAAAAAAGCTATTAAAATGAAGCAGAGTGCAAATCAAAACCACAATGAGAGACCATCTCACACCAGTCACAGCGGCGATCATTAGAAAGTTAGAAAGAGGACAGGCATGGTGGCTCATGCCTGTAATCCCAGCACTTAGGGAGGCTGTAGCAGCTGGATCACGAGGTCAGGTGCTCGAGATCAGCCTGGCCAACACTGTAAAACCCAGTCTTTACTAAAAATACAAAAAATTTGCCGGGCGTAGTGTGCACCTGTAATCCCAGCTACTCAGGAGGCTCAGGCAGGAGAATTGCTTAAAACCAGGAGGTGGTTTGCAGTGAGCCCAGATTGCACAATTGCACTCCAGCCCGGGCAACAGTCTAAGACTCCGTCTCAAGGGAAAAAAAAAAGGAAACAATAGATGCTGGAGAGAATGTGGAGAAATAGGAATGCTTTTACACTGTTGATAGGAATGTAAATTAGTTCAACCATTGTGGAAGACAGTGTGGTGATTCTTCAAGGATCTAGAACTAGTAATACCATTTGACTCAGCAATCCCTTTAGTAGGTATATGTACAAATCACAGACAGTTTCATGGAACTGGTAGAAAACTTCAAGTAAGTGCTTTTTTGTTGTTTGTTTTTTAAAACAGGGTGTCACTCTGTCACCCTGGCTAGAGTGCAGTGGCACAAACATGGCTGGCTACGGTGTCAACCTCCTGGGCTCAAGCAAACCTCTTGTCCCAGCCTCCTGTGTAGCTGGGACCACAGGTATGTATCACTATAGGCACAAACATGGCTATCCCTAAAAATAGGGAGCCCCAGTATCCAAGAAGGACATCCACATACTTGCTACTCAAAGGCTAGGCCTTGGTTCAGCAGCATTAGTATCACCAGGGAGCTTGCTGGAAATGCAGACTCTCCTAGCCACACCATATACCTACTGAGTCAGAATCTGTGTTAAATCAAATTCTTAGGTGATTTGTGTGCATGACCAAATTTGAAATGGCCAGTTCTGGATCATGCTGGACACTGGAGTTGGCATCTTCAGATGCAGTTTCTCCATCTTCACCACTAGTGAAATTTCCTTCACCACTAGTTCCTTACTCCAGAAATCTAGTTATCTAGTGTGTGCTCCATGTATCTCTGACTTCACACTCCTGACAGTGTTTATTTCCTCTGGCATATAAATATATTCAAGTCTTTCCAAGATAAAACACAAAAATCACTTTCTCAACTGCTAATTCCCCCTAACCACAGCCTCCTCTCTCTCCTCTATGCTCTAGAGGCAGTCTTAGGGAAAGACTTTAAACTTACAGAAAGAGTTGCATGTAGGCTGAGCACAGTGGCTCATGCCTGTAATGCCAGCATTTTGGGAGGCTGAGGTGGGTGGATCATGAGGTCAGGAGTTCAAGGCCAGCCTGGCCAAGATGGTGAAATCCTGTCTTTACTAAAAATACAAAAAAATAGCTAGACATCGTGGCACATGCCTGTAATCGCAGCTACTCAGGAGGCTGAGGCAGAGAACTACTTAAACTGGGGAGGCAGAGGTTGCAGTGAGCCAAGATTAAGCCACTGCACTGCAGCCTAAGTGACAGAGTGAGACTCTGTCTCAAAAGAGAAAGAGCTGCATGTATTTGGTCTGAATTTCCTCCTTACATTTTATTCTATAACCCAGACTTGTATGTGTTACTTACTACTGCTCCACAAAAAGTCTCCCACACAGATTTCTGGTGACTTCCTAACTACAAAACTGGGTGAGCCCTTTCAATTCATATCTCACTGACCTGCCATAGAATTAAAAAGTGTTGACCATGTCTTCCTCTTTCATAGTAAAAGTAGCTAATATATATGTAATGTGTGTTGTCTTCAGATACTGGTTAAGTGCTTTACATGCATTAATTTTTTTTTTTACTTAGTGCTTTTGCAATTTTCATGGTATTCCCCTAACTCCTTTTGTGCCTACTTGCCTAGCGCTTCTTTTTACACTTAAGTCTTTAAATCATTCCAAAAAATCTCCACTCTTGGTCCCATAAATTTTCAAAACTCATCAATTCTCCTACCATTGACTCTAGAATAATTTGATACTCCCCAGAGTAATACAAAAATCCAATGAAAATTGAGTCACAGTACTTAAAAAAGGAAAAAAAGCTTATGTTCCAGAACTATAAAATTTGATACAATGCAGATTGTACCCATCATATGGTGATTGGCAAAGAAAACCTCATAATAATTATAAAAATTCACAAGCATTCTTCAAAACATTTCCACTCTACTACTACTACGCCCTCTAAGTTAAAAGAAGACTTAGATGAATTCTGTGTCTCTTCATTGGTGCCCAAGTAACACCATCCAGACATACAAGTAACACTTTTAAGTTTTACAAAAATGTAAAAGACCAATGATTATCATTTCTAAAAATAAAATCCTATTATTTATAATGTTAAAAACTAACATTTTGAAAATTGTCTATGTGTCAGTTACCTCAGCCTACATCCCTTTGTCTGGTCCTTACTCTCAGCTGGTCACCCTGATTCCTATTTCACTGAGAAAAGTAAAGCATTCAAAAGAGAAGTTCCACAGATGCCGTTTTCACACCCACCAATGCACCTGCATCTGATGCATTAAAATCTCATGCACCCATGAATTCTCATGCATCTACTGTCCCAGGACATAGAAGCCTGCTCCCATTTCAAACCTGCCTCCACACACACAATGGTAGACATTACCATTTAAGGTCATGTGCTTTAGCAATTTCCCCCTCTGTCCACCAACATCAAATAACCCTCTCTTGTGAATAGTTCTCATCTGCTTGTAAAATATAACAGACCACCGCTGCCAAGATGTATAATATGTGTGTGGAAGAGTACGAGCCTTACCCAGATGATGGCATGGGGTATGGCGGCTGCTACCCAAAAGTCCCTGACCGCTCACAGCAAGAGAGGGATCCATGGTATGACTGGGACCAACAAGACATGAAGTTGAACTGGATGAAATGATACACTGGGATCTAGAAATGTATATCAGGAACCGTGTGGATACGTTCCCCACACCTGTTTCTTGGGATGACATGTGTAGGCAGCTCTTTGGCTTCGTGGTTTTCATGATGTTGATGTTCTGGGTAGGGCATAGCTACCTTGTCTACCAGCCTGTGGCACCAAAGCAGTATCCTTACACTGATGTATACCTGGAACGAGGCAGCCATCCCTCCAAAGAACCTGAGCTGGTGGTTCAGTATGAGATCTGAGGAGGCTTCATGGGCTTTTGTGCCCTCTAACTAGGACTCCCTCATTCCTAGAAATTTAACCTTAATGAAATCCCTAATAAAACTCACTGCTGTGGTAAAAAAAAAAAAAAAATCAAAGATGGAAGCTGTTTTATCCAGTAAGGAGGCAAGTCATAAATAATGATAAAGTTTCACCAAAACTAAGATCATTAAGAATGAGAAAGAAAATACTGCCATTTAAAATTTAAGATTCCATTGATTGTGAGAAATGAATGTTTCAATCTAGGAAAATGTACATTTTTTACTTGGTAAAAAAAAATAGTTTATCATGGTTTTTAAGCTTTTTGAAAATAAGAGAACAGTGATAATGGTTACTTAATAACTGAAACCAACAAAACAGAATCTATCTGCCTACGTGTCTATCATTATGTTTCATGTTCCAAAAATTTGATTCATGAAAAAAATATGTCATATAATCCAGAGGACTGCTGAAATATATCAATTTTATTCCTGTTCTGACACAAACATTTAACTTCTTCATTGTGATTAGGTGAGTTTTGTGACCTAATTATCACTGTTCATTGTTTTATTCTTTTTTGTTTTGAGACAGGGTCTTACTTTGTTGTTCAGTCTGGACTGCAATGGCATGATCATAGCTCATTGCAACCCTGAACTCCTGTTCTCAAGCATTCTTCCTGCCTCAGCTTCCCAAAGTGCTGGTATTACAGGCAGTAGTCACTGCTCAGCCTGTTCTTTTTCTTGGAACAGGAATTGAAAAGCTTTTCCAATAAAGGGCCAGATAAAAGATATTTTCGGCTATAAGGGCCATATAATCTTACAACTACTCAATTCTGTTGCTGTAGCACAAAAGCAGCCATGGACAATATGTAAACAAACCAGTGTGGCTGTGTTCCAACAAAGCTTTATTTATAAAATAAGAGGCAGGCCAGTTTGCCTTGCAACTCATGGTTTGCAAACCTATGGCTTAGAAGACAAATAAGCTCAGACTGCCCTGCAAATAAACATATTGGGTCAAACATGTCTAAAGGTGTAATTATTTCAGTTAAAGAATATTGTAATCTAGAGTTCCTTTTAGTTCTGAACTTTTACAAAGGAAAAGCTTGGAGTCATGACAATATGGACTTTGTGTGCATTCTTAACAAATACTGTGAGAATGGGGAGGATGAATGGGATTGTACCTGTCTGAATAAGTGACTAGGCTTAAAAGTGCTGAAACAGCCATCAGTGTTTTCAAGGTTCAGCCTACTTCAACACAATAGTCAGATACTTACTGCAAAATAAAACAGACGCAAAAAAAAACAACACACAGGGATGTAAAAACAATTGAAGCCACTAAAATGGAACATCAGGTCGGGAGTTAGTTAACCGTCGGGCTGAAGCAACTCAACAAAGCTCCTCACATTAATTGGCCTCTGCTTTCCCCACCTTTCAAGTTTTGATTAACCGTTCCTGCCAGAACCCATCACAATTTCAACACCTGAGTCCCATTTTAATAAACTGGATTTGGTTCAGAACACCTCACAGTTACTTCAGAGAATGGCAGTTACAGAAACCTGCTCTTGAATTTGAAATTTATAGGAAAAAAGGTTTCAAATGACTTTCAGTTATATCTTCCTTCTCAGAGATCAGATGTAAAAATATCAGCCCAGAATCACTGATATTTAGGGATAATAAATTTATAAAAGAAACAGCTTCTTCCTCAAGATTCTATAAATAGGTTGGGAGCAGTGGCTCATGCCTATAATCCCAGCAATTTGGGAGGCCAAGGCAGGCAGAGGCCAAGAGTTTGAGAACTGCCTAACATGGCAAAACCCCTGTCTGTAGTAAAAATACAAAAATCAGTTGAGTATGGTGGTACATGCCTGTACTTTCAGTTATTTGGAAGACTGAGGAATGAGAATCACTTGAACCCAGGAGGCGGAGGGTGCAGTGAGCCAAGATCGCACCACTGCACTCCAGCCTGGGCAACTGAAAAAAAAAAAGATTGCATAAATATCTATTTTCATGCCTATAGATGTATAATTTGTGTATGGAACAGAATAGAAAATTAAAGCTAAGAGCACAACAGTCACTCCACTAGACAGTGTGCTCTAATTGTGTTGATAAGGATTACCAATGTAGGTAAAAAATTCAGAATCAATAGTTGATTTAGATACCTCACAGAGCTATGACTCTCAAGCCTGTAACACATAATACAAAGGAAATATCATTCTGTTACTTTTGTACAGCTTGATAACTTCTTGTGTTGTACATTTACATTCATCATCTATTTTAACAAACACCATGTAAGATCAATAGGATAAATCCCTTATTTGAAAAAAATGAGGTTGAAGACACAGGTTAATTGATTTGACTAAATTTATAGAGTAAATTGGTTTTGCAGTTAGGATTAGAATCAAGTTGCCATCGTTCAGAACTGAGCTCTTCCATCCAGTAGAAAGCAAGCCCCACAAAGCCTGGAATTTTTGCGTGATTTGTTTACTAACACATCTCTACCAAACTGCAGGACACAATATAGGTATTCAAAAAGTTCATGTTGAATGAATGAATGAATAAATCTTTTCAAAATAGTTAAAGTAGGAACATAGAAAGGTAAAAGCAGAACACAAACAAAGCCATGAGATGGCCTCACTCTCCTTGTCCTTGCAGCAAATCATCAGTTTTATTTCTTCTGCATCTTTTCTATGTCTCAAGGATCCCAAACCCACTATGACCCCTGGTGATTGACCAAGTGGAGTTGACCAGGAACAACACTTAAACAATCAGTGAGAGGGGTCAGAGGACAGGAGTTTTAGGCCCAGCCTTTCTACCTGGAGGGTTGGCTGCAGACAAGCCATTCATTTGAGGAGCCTCAACTTCCCAGTCCTTTCTGGCTTCCACACCTAACTCTTGGGGACTTACTATCTGCTTTGCTTAACTATAGGAGTATGAGAAAGGTCAGGTAAGATTATAAAGATATTTTACACTCCATACATATTGATGAATCCATTATTGCCCTAATTCTGCAGTCATCTTCTCAGAATAAGATCCAGAGTGAAACACAGGCAACAGGATTACACTAGTATTTATTTGCTTCAGTGGGTCAAGACCAGATCAATGTCTCTTGGATCCTTGCAAGAGTTCTCTTTCAGCCCCAAGTTCTGTTAAAAGATAATCCATAACATCATTTCATTCTGATGTTGGGGGCACCTCTTCTGGCCAAGACTCTCAACTGAGCTTTCCTGACTGCCAAGGTGGACTCTTTTGAGTCATTCTCTACTGTTCCCCCTCAACCTTCAGATTCTCCTACTTCTCAAGTCCACTGTCCTTGGAATCCTTGGAACCAGGCAGTCTGCTTGGCCTTGCATCTTTGTGGTTACTTATCAGCAGAATCCATGCTGGTATATGGCCTGTGTCCCCTGTATTCCCTGGGGAAAACAGTCCAGTAAAACAGGTCTTCTCATTTTTTGCAGTATTGGTGATTTTAGACAGTGGTCTTCTAGGATAGTATTATACATTCTCCTAATAACGATGATAGAGAGATAAATGGGTGGATGCAAGAGTGGATGGATGAATGGATGGCTGGATGGATGAATGGATGGATAGAGAAACAGATAAATAAGATATAGATAGATAAATAGAAAATAGATGGATAGGTGGATAGATGGATGTATAGATGGATGGATGGAGAGACAGATGATAGATAGATAGATGCATGGATGGGTAGATGGATAGATGGTTGGATGGATGGATGGCCAGCTGGCTAGCAGACTGGGTTGCTGGCAGGCAGGCTGGCTGGCTGAATAGATGAATAGATAAATACTAATCTAACTGATAGTTAGGTGAAGTAAGATGCCTCTCTCCTGTACAGTTAAAAGCAGGCAAGCATTCTGCCCAGGATATGGGGAGGAACCCCTAGAAGGAACAAAGAGATGAAAATATTTGAGAAACACCATGAGCAATAATATGAGTCTCTTCTCCCAAATGGCATGAATATTTCAAAAGCATGTGAAAACTACTCAGAGTAGCTATGATGTAAGGTGGGAGGGTGGTGACAAACTATACCTTTAGAAAGCTTCTAGTCTTCCATCCACACATAATTTTTGTTTTGTTTTGTTTTTTTGGTTTGATTTGGTTAGCCAATAATGCAAGGAGTGGGCAGCCAGGTTTTATGAAGGCTCTATATTTTTTACGTGAATTTACATATACCCACACACACCTGCAGTAAATGATCTCCCCAAGCTGCAGAAGAATAAGAGGAGGGCCCATTCATGCCCATGACCCCATGTAAACATAGTCAGATTTGGGTCAAGCGATTTAAGTACCACTGACGTTCTCGTACCTCACAGAAGCTTTGGCACTGGTGTTTCCTCAGGTCCCCTGATTCCTTGCAGGGCTCCAGGCACTGAAAGGAAGGAACAATAAAAATAAATAAAACATGGAAACAGAAAAGCAAAGCCAAGAGGAAAAAAGAATTCACCTGTAATCATGGCTTTTCGATGCTCCTTTATTCTGGTTAGTTTAGAACACCAAAGAATCAGCTGCTCTTTTTAACTGGGTATAATATAAATCTGAGCAAAGGCATCATTACAGAATGGGGACACAAAATGTATTTCCACATAATTGAAAAGGAAATGTTACCGCCTGGCAGTGACTTACAGGGAAAGCAATGATCGTCACCATCAGCCAGAGGAATTGGGGTAAGAAATATTTTCTATTCATTAAGAAATACTTTCTAAAGCTTGTTGTTTCTGAAGAATTTTTTTTTCATAAAACTTAATATTACATTTCTTTTAGATTGGCAGCATTTGGCTATTTTTCATATACTCTTTTATAAGTAAGTGAAATGCATTGTATTAAATGTATGTACACATATGTATTGTTAATGTGTGTCCTTGCATCAATGAATCCAACAGCATTCAGATACATCCAGTTTATTCACTACATTAAAATACATTGAATAAATCTGTTAGATTCTGACATGAGAGTTTCATAACAGAAAATGAAGAATTCTTAAACATACATGCATATAACTTATTACTATATACATTCTAATAAAGACACTAGCCAGACTCCATTGTTCAGGAATGATTGTAATAATACACAGTAAGATTG